CAAATTAAGATAAATTGATAAAATAAATTGTTTAGAAACTCAAATTTCCTAAATATGATATTCACTAGGAAGTACCTCTCATTCCTCCACCCAGAATTTTGCACATTTCAGTTAACGCTGCTTGTTCACGTCTTCTTTTTTCTTCTTTAGGCACACCACATGATGGTGTTATATCTCCAACAATAGCTGTCAAAATTGAAAATCTGACCTCAAAACTCAAACTATAAGTTGAATCTTGTGTGTGTCTGTGCAGTGCACATGTGCATCAGTATATAGCATTAGATATGTGGTTGCTCAACATACACCCCCATCCCCAACCAAAATAAAAACCAACACGACAAACTCATAGAATGCATGTAAGAAAATCAATAAGTTGGTTCTAAACGTTCAACACTGTCAACTATCTAGATTATCATATTAAAACTTTAAAACTTTTATGGTACCTATTTAAAGATTTCTTTTTCCTTCTTCGAGGAAAACAATTTCTACGTTGCTGATTTTAACATCATAAATTTGTATAGCATGGCCATTCCAAACTTGAAGTACACTAATGATTATGATGGAAGATACAGGCATAGGAGAGTACCTTCTGCAATATCATGGACAATTGCAATCTTGATACATCTGTAAGAGTTAGAAGGAAAACACATAAGCTTAAACATCCAACAAAAGAAAGCAAATAAAGTTCTTTTTAAAAAAAGCAAGCATAGAGAATCACATATCTATCAATAAACTCATCTCAAGCCTCTTTAACAAGCTAAATCCAGTCAATGAAAAAGAAAAAGAAAAGAAAAAAAGAATACCTATTAGCTAGGTAAAGCTTCTAAAATTCTCCTCAATTAGCATGGATGAAAATAAATAAAACTAAATCACATTTACAAACTTGGAAGTTGATAATTAATGAAGAACAAGAGCCCCGATCATATGATATGATAAGAGAGTGAACCTTTCTCTATTCACACCAGGAAGGTCACCAGCGATCAAAGCCATCAACGCCATGCGGTACATATGGTCAGCAATTGATTCAGGACCCTCTATCCATGATGATCCAACCCTTCCTTTTTGTGGTCTATGCAATGAAAAAAGTAATCAGGAACTATAATTTTTTCCCCTGCATGATTCAACTGGAAACTATGAGATAGAAAGGTGGGTTTAAGCAAAGATGCACGGCTATTGGAAGCTTAAATTTCTAAGTAGCTTTCAAAGTCTTCACTCAAAACGTCTTTAATTACACTAGAAAAGTTTTAGAAATTAAAGACTGGAAGGAAATAGAATAACGGTACAAATTTACGTTATCATTTTTACCTTGAGACTGTGGCACAATGTGAGAAAATCAATGGCGGAGGCGGTCTCAGACGTAATGGCGGAAGGTATGTGCGGGTAATGAAAACGATCGGCGAGCGACGGTTCGCGAACCTAAAAAACGGAGGCGCGCAGTACGCACAAGTATTAGAGGCCATTGTGCAAGCGGAGGCAGGCAGGCCTGTGCGCCGGAGATTTAAAGCTTTGGACCTATTTGGGTTGGCGGGTATTTGATGGGGTCCGAGAAACGAGGTCCGATTTGGTTGGGCTACCGATCAACTTTGGTCTTAATATGACCCTTTTTGAGGAAAAAGTGAAGGCCGTAGAAAGTTTGGATTTTTTTTCCTGAAAAAATATTTTTTTTAAAGAAAGAGGAGGGATTATTCTGAATTGATATCAGAATTTAATATACTTAATGCTATTAAATCTAGACAAACACAAAAGTGATTAATGTATTTATAAATTTATTATTTTGCTTGTTGAATAGGCATCTGAATGATCAATTTACATAAAATAGAATAATGACAAATATTTCAAATCTGAGTGAATTTCAAAGCATACTTTTCTAATAGTTTGTGTGTACGATTGAACACATACACACACTTTTCTTGAGTGAATTTCAAATCTGATTAAAAACTTGAAGAAATTAAGACCTATGCATAATAACAAAATATTTTGTCTAAATCCAGCTAACCTTATATATCATTGTCCGAAACTAACCGATACTTATCTCATTGCGTAAACGCCTTTGTTTTGGGGAAAGCTCATATTTGTCAATTGTCAATAAGAATTAACCTCTTGCAAGCTATTGGTTCTTTGTAGGGGTGTTCATTCGGTTAATTCGGTGGCCGAACCGACCGAACTACCATTTTCGAATTAACCGAACTTTTTTTTTTAACCGTTAATCGAACCAAACTTTTTTTCGAAAATATTAATCGAACCGAATAAATTTCGGTTAATTCGGTTAATTTTCGAATTAACCGAAATTTTTTATAATTTTAGAATTTAATATTATTTTAATTAAAAAAACAATTTACAATTAATTTAAATAATATCTAATTATAAATAATATCTAATTAATTTGATTCAAATATTTTGCATTTAGTTTTGATATTATTTTAATTAATTAATATTGATTTGGGTTTTAAATGGATTTTAAATAGATTGGGCCTCTTAATATAATTATATTTAAAGGTTAATTCGGTTAATTCAGTTAATTCGATTAATTAATCGATTTCGAACCGAATTAACCGTTAACCGAATTCTAAAAAAATCCTTAACCATTTTCCAATCGAATTAATTCGGTGACCGACCGAATTAACCGAACTAATTCGATTCGATCGATTAATTCGATTAAAACCGAATTTTGAACATCCTAGTTCTTTGTTTCAATACACACACAAGTAGAAAGAGGAGGAATCTTCACGCAAAAATAAACTAAAATTAGCTAGACCCTAAACCTACCCCTCCTAGATTTCATCTTCAGAAAGGCTTCGTCTTTAATATATCAAATGATAATATTACTTTATAAACAAAAAAAATGCAGTATCTTACAAAGAAAAAATTGCAGATTCTCGACATGTTGAAGATTTTGTTAATAGTCAAAAATAGCAGGCTGCAGGTTTAAACTCACGTGAGGAAAGTGATTAAAATGGTGATTGGAGTTTATAACGTTGCAAGAGTTTTCTTTCATTTTCTTTTGAAAACTCAAACTTTCAAGGGACCCTTCACACCTTAATCTTATTGGCAGAGAAGAATATCTTAGCGATAGAATATATGAGATTATATGGCATATTGAAATCATAAACACCACCGCATCATTTAATTTGTAGAGCGTTGAAATATGATAACGCTGCCAAAGTAATGGTCATATTTTAAACTTAAGTTTCGTTGTCATAGATTAAGGAATTGTATATCAAGTAAACAGTAGTGATCTTAATATATACATATATATAACTTTGGCAGCGTTATCATATTTCAACTCTCTACAAATTATGTGTATGTGAGTGTGTGCAAGTCAATGGTAGGGACTAGAACCGGTATATTAAATAACCCTTTCACATTGTCTACATCCCAAAAAAAAAACGTCATATCATATAGAAAATTCTACCGTCTGCAAACCTGATCCAACAAATATAATTAATAGCGTTTACTTTTTGCTCAATTACACCTTTGAATTAATTAACCTTAATTATAGAGATTGGAATACTTTTTTTTTAATTCAAACATTTGAACAAATCTTATTTAACTGGTGAATTTTTTTTGAAGAAAGTAGAAAAGATACACAGTTGATGTGGGTCTGATCATAAAAACATGTTGAGAGGGACAACATCAGCGGTGGTCATAACTCTGCCTTTATGAAGCAATTTATTTCTGACATCAGATAGGTGTCATCTTCTAATGGATGTAAGTTGAAAGCATTTTTTATCAAATATTGGGCACTTGATCTGATACTGCGAACGATCAGTCTTTAACAGTCTATAAACAGTAGGTGGCAAGTTTTATTCGGAGAAATTTAGAAGAAAAATTGGTGGATAACGAGGATGACCATGATGTTTTGTCAACGACCAAGTTTCTCCTAGTGTTACAATTAGCAGCCTTTAGAACGTGTGAAGGATGCTTTAAACAAAAGCATGTTTGCATATAATTCTAGCTGTTAAGTGTTGTTGTATGAGTTTTAATTTTTAAGATTGGAATGCTTGTTTAATGGTGTAGCTGTCAGCTACCGGATATTCTGCACAAAACGTGGCTTTGGCCTTGATCAGGAAGAGTTGTTGTTCCTCCATTGACTTTGGAATTGAAATAATTAATATTACTCAGATGCAGGAATTGGTTCAATATTAATTCATTTCAGAAAGAAATCAGGGTCGCAGAAATTAAACTTTCAATTATATATCTGCCTTTGGCCTTTGGCAATTCTTGGAATCGGTCCAAGAAAACTTGGGTTGTTGATTCAGCAAGTAATTGAAGGATTGCTACTGTAAATACACTAGGGCAGGAAAAAAAGTGAGTACCGTCGTCACTAAAAGATGGAATGGTAATTGTAACTTTGAGAGTTGTTGAGTCAATGCATAGTTTAAACTACTTTAAAGGATCGTGTTGCTTGCGTGTGTACGCGACATCGGATTGGAGAATCAATTCTTTTGTCTTAATTACTGTATTTATATATTAAAAAAACCTCTTAGTACACACAAAAGGTTCCTAATCAAAGTCATTATCTAAAGGGTTTAGACCATTCTCTCCCTCCAAGTTGACTCCAATGCCCCTTTCTTCGCACCGCTCTTAAATACCCCCATCACTGCTTTTCTCATCAAGGTTCACTTCTCACCTGATATATCCAATACAACTTACCCAACTTGGGGAAAAAAGTGTTGAGAAACAGCAATGGTGGGTTCCCTTTTTTTTTCCCCTCTTTTCTCTTTTTTTTTGTCCTTTGCTTTTTGTCATTCAAATAGACAGAAAGAAGAAACATGTATATTACTATAATTTATCTACTAACTCTCATTTGTGGATGTTTTTTTCCCTATAGGAAGGAGGGTATAAAGATACCAGATGGGAAGGCTATGTGGATTGGAGGAATAGACCTGCTTTAAGAGGCAAGCATGGTGGCATGCTTGCTGCTTCCTTTACCTTGGGTTAGTAACCCCCCAAAAGATGCTATTTTATAAGTCTATGTTATGGTTTAATGATGATTTTTTTTTGTGTGGTTGTCGAAGTGCTGGAAAATTTGGCTTACTTAGCAAATGCCAGCAACCGGTGTTGTATCTGTCGAAGTACATGCACTTTTCACCGTCCAAAGCGGCAAACAATGTCACCAATTTCATGGGAACTGCCTTCCTTTTGGCCCTCCTTGGAGGCTTCTTATCTGACGCTTTCTTCACCACTTCACATCTACCTCATAAGCGCGCTCATCGAAATTCTGGTAAACTTTTTTCTCAAGCCATCAAATACTTGTTTTTTATAGTTGCATGTCCTTCACTATACGATTTTGCATGAAAAAAGAAGAAGATACGGAGTGTTGAGCATTAAAGGTTGGTGCCGACACAGGCGCGAGCTCTTGGTATATGAATCCAAGGAACGCCGTTTACTTAAGTTCAACTATCGAGGTCCTATGATAAATGTCCATAATTTCTCTCAGATCCAGAAACAAAACAAGAAGCAATGAAAGGGTCCTGTTTATCATGATGAAACTTTCAACTATTGATTACGTTGGTTAGGCTTTGAATTGGTCATATTCCTTCCAAGCATTAAATTTTACTAGATGACAAATTCGATTTTGTAAGCAACAAAAAAAGTCGTAACGATAAATATAAAATTCAGACGTGGTGTGTTGGGAAGAAAAAAAAAGTCATGGAATTTAGCCAATAGAAGCCGACGCCTTAGCCTTAAGGGGTTTAAATATTAGTGTCTCGTGTTGCAACATGAGAAACTGTCCTTTCACAATTTCAGCAAATATGGTAACATCAAATGGGATCTAATCCGGAAGCACAAAAACGACAACAAACATGTCAAGGAATAGTGCTCATGTTGGCAGGTTCACGAACCACGTGCATGAGTGGCTAATGACTACAACTTGACAGTTTATTGAAGTGAGAACTTTACAAAGCCCAGTAGCGGAAACCCCAGTTTCTTTATAATATCATTTCATTAAAATTTCGGCAGTGCGGTCCAAAGCATTTTTGGGTTTGGATGCTGATACCAGATAGGAAAACTGACTATTTGGTTTTATTTTAGACTGACCTTTTGGCATATGGCTTATCTATGATACTAATTAAAACCTTGTAAAGAAACAAACTATTTCTTCCAACAAAATCATAATTAGTGTCAAAATTGTTGGTGGTTAATGCATTACCGGAATTATATATGCCTAATCAATAGCTGCATTGGAACAGGGCTTGATAATTCTTACCATCCAAGCTCGGACGCCTTCACTAAAGCCCCCACAATGCAATCCATCTATTCCATGCGAGGAAGTTGGTGACGGGAAAGCAGCTATGCTGTTCGTAGGCCTGTATCTGGTGGCACTTGGTGTTGGAGGTATAAAGGGGTCCTTACCAACTCACGGCGCTGAGCAGTTGGATGAGACACCCCAGAAGGAAGGAAGCAAAGATCCACCTTCTTCAACTACTTTGTCTTTTGTCTCTCATGTGGTGCGCTTATTGCCGTCACATTTGTTGTGTGGGTTGAGGATAATAAAGGATGGGAGTGGGGTTTTGCCATCTCCACAATCGCAATATTGTTGTCAATCCTGTCGTAACCGGTTTTCGTCCGGGCACGAAATATTAAAATTTGGCGGGGAAATTAATATTAATAAATAATTTTGAAAATAATTTGTGAGTCGCCATCGGCCTTTTTGGATTAGGTAGGTCGAATACCTAAAAATTATTTTTTAAAAGAGTTTTAAGAAAACATCAATTAAAAAAATCGAACTGATCTGCGTTTTATAACCAAAAATTCATTCTTTTTAATAATAAAAAGGGATTCGTGGTCGGTTACATTTAGGGAAGGATTAGCACCCCTACAACGCCCAAAATTGGTACTTTTTTAATTATAAATTGTCTCTATTATTAAAAATTTAACAATTCAAAAATATATTTAATTTATAATCTTATAATTTTAAAATTGTAAAAAAATATTTTTTATTTAAAAATATCTGAAAAGAACTTCTAGGTGCCTTAAGACAGCTCTTTCTTTGATATTGATAAATATTAATTTAAATAATATTGTTTAATTTTAAAACATCAGAATAGGACATCCAGTTGTATTAAGACTGTCCTTTTCTTCGATATTAAAAATAAATATTTAAAAGTTAATATTTATTACATATATTTATGAATATAAATCAAAATATTTAACAATATAATAAAATAATAATTCTATTAAACAATATATTTAAAAACAATAAAATAAATAAAGACATATAAAATTAATAACTAAATTATAAAAATAAAACTAATTACTAATTACTAATTACTAATTAATTGAATTTATAGGGTTTAAATATATTTTTTTTATTTAATAATTTAATGACCAAAATAAACTTATCTAAAATTCAAATTTTATAATAAAATAAATTAAAAGTATGAACTAGGGACTAAAAAATTATTTATTAAAATTAGGGATTAAATCTGTAATTTATCCTAATATATTATTTTAATATGAAGGACTAAAATAAAAGAAATTAAAATTCGAAGACTGAATTAAAAATATTATAAATTTAATTTAGTGACTAAAATGTAAAGTTTACAAGTACGAAGGACTGCGGAAGGGATTTAACTTTTCCATAATCACGCGCATAGTCCTTCCCGAAACGACGTCGTTCGGGAAGGACTATAAAAGTCCAAATCGGCTGGCCCGAAGGGCCAGCCATTTCATTTCTTCTTTTTTTTTTCTTTCTTTCTCTCAAACAGAGAGAAGAACTCTCTGTCTTCTCTCTAGACTGAGAGAGGTTCAGTCGGCCGGCAGCCGTTAGCCGGCGTTCATCCGCCGTCAACCACCGCCGCCGGCCACCGTCTTCGGTGGCCGGAAATTTTTTTCTTTTATCTAAATGTAGATCGGACCGTCCTAATGACGGTTCCGACGTTTTTTTTTCCGTTAAAACTGCTCCCAAACGGAGCAAATCTAAAAATACCTTCGATGTTTCGAAGGTTCTGACGAGATCCGGTGGTCAACGCTTCCTCGGTAAGTCTCTTCTTCCTTTTTTTTTTTTTTTTTCTTCTGGTTCTTGCTGCTGAGATCGTTGGTATAGTTTGTTTTTTTTCCTTTTCTCTGTTTTTTTTTTTCCCCGGTTCTGTTTCTGTCTCTCTGTCTCTGTCTCTGTCTCTTTTTCTTTTTTTTTCTTTTTTTCAGGTGGGTGGTGGCTTTTATAGCCACCACCGGTGCGGTCATCGGACTGGGTAATAGACTACCCTTCGGTGAGTCACCGGACTACCAGTGGTGACTCACTGCTAGAGTAGCAACGTGGGTGGCCATCTGGGTCTTCTGGAGGCTTCGATGGAGGCGTGGCAGCGGCGGAGGCGGTGAGGGCTGTCGGCAGCCGCGTGGAAGCTGGAGCGGCGCCGCGTGGCCCTAGGGTATCAAACCCTAGGGTTCCTCTCTGGAGCCATGTGGACCGTTGGATCGTGCCAGATCCAACGGCTGTGATGAGGCGGCTGAGGATGATTAGGGTTAGGAAACCCTAACTGGAAACCCAAATATTTAGGGTTTCCGGTTGGATTTGGACCGGTTTCAGTTGGTTTGTAACTGAGCCGGTTTAATTGTAATTGGTTTGTATTTAATATATTTAATAATAATAATAATAATAATAATAAAAATAATAATAATAATACTAATAATAATATTAATAATGATAATAATAATATTAATAATAATGATAATAAAATGGATAAAAAAAATAGTATCTTCAGCTGCCCCTCTTTGCTCATTCTTGTGTTAACAAGAATAGGGCAAAGATGAAAAGATAATAAATTTTTTTATCCATTGACTTTACTTTGATCATTATGGAGATATTGAATAAATTCTTCTTTTCTTCTCCAAATAAGCTCTTCTTATTATGAACTTTCTGCTGGGGATGATGATGACCTCCTTTTGTGATAGAGTCATTCAAAAGGTTGAATAAGCTTTTGATGAGTTCTTCTCATTATGAACTTTTTCTTCCTTCTTCAGATGACGAGTTCTTCTCATTATGAACTCTTCCTCTGGAAAAGAATGATCCATCAAGTGATGAATTCAAGCAAAAGGTTGAACAAGTTCTTCTCATTATGAACTTCTTCTTCCTTCTTCAGATGACGAGTTCTTCTCATTATGAACTCTTCCTCTGGAAATGTTGATCCATCAAATGATGAATTTAAACAAAAAGTTGAACAAGTTCTTCTCATTATGAACTTCTTCTTCTTTCTTCAGATGAGTTCTTCTCATTATGAACTTTCTCTGGAAAAGCTGATCCATCAAATGACGGATTCAAGTAAAAGGTTGAACAAATTCTTCTCATTATGAACTTCTTCTTCCTTCTTCAGATGAGTTCTTCTCATTATGAACCTTCTCTGGAACTGTTGATCCATCAAATGATGAATTTAAACAAAAAGTTGAACAAGTTCTTCTCATTATGAACTTCTTCTTCTTTTTTCAGATGAGTTCTTCTCATTATGAACTTATCTGGTAATGAATGATCCATCAAGTGGATTTGAAATCTTTGCTAAAATCTTTGAAATTCCTGTTAAAAATTCAACAAGAATAAAAATGAATGAAAATGCATCTATTTTTGTAAACACCTAAAATATGATGCATGAATGTTAAGTTATTTGATTTCAGATTGGTGAATTGAGTATTTCTTCAATTGTAAAAACCCAATAAATCTTTCTTCTTCAAATCAGAGAATCTATCCTCTTTGACAAATGTAGAGGTAGATATAATGTCACAAAAATTTCTTGAGAATAAAACTCAATTGTATAAGCTCTTGAAAAGCTTGCATTGAGGCAACATGTTGATTCTGATAACAGCTCATCTGATTATGAAGTGGCCTTTCAAAGATGACTTCACAGATATCGATAGTTCTTTTAATACCAAGAAATCTTGAATTCTGATGAAGAAAATAAACTGTTATACTTGACAAGAATGGGATTCTCGAGTGCGGTTACTTCAATATCCATGTAGAAATGTGGTCCAGATTCATCAATTATAAAATTGATAAATTTTATACGTGCTGCTCAAATGACTAAAGCTGCTGATGCACTTCTTCGGATCAAATAACTCAAAGAACACTTCCAGAAGATGCTATTGGCAAATTTATTTTCTAAATTCAATGCTTGATTATGCCCAATCAGATCAGATAACTCAAAGAAAACTTCCAGAAGATGCTATGTTCTTCTAACCAGATCAGATAACTCAAAGAACACTTCCAGAAGATGCTATGTTCTGTCTAACCAGATCAGATAACTCAAAGAACACTTCCAGAAGATGTTATGTTCTTCTAACCAGATCAGATAACTCAAAGAACACTTCCAGAAGATGCTATGTTCTGTCTAACCAGATCAGATAACTCAAAGAACACTTCCAGAAGATGCTATGTTCTGTCTAACCAGATCAGATAACTCAAAACACTTCCAGAAGATGCTATGTTCTGTCTAACCAGATCAGATAACTCAAAGAACACTTCCAGAAGATGCTATGTTCTGTCTAACCAGATCAGATAACTCAAAGAACACTTCCAGAAGATGCTATGTTCTGTCTAACCAGATCAGATAACTCAAAGAACACTTCCAGAAGATGCTATTTTCTGTCCAACCAGATCAGATAATTCAAAGAAAACTTCCAGAAGATGCTATGTTCTTCTAACCATATCAGATAACTCAAAGAACACTTCCAGAAGATGCTATGTTCTGTCTAACCAGATCAGATAACTCAAAGAACACTTCCAGAAGATGCTATTGAGCACATATAAAAGGTTGAATTGTTTATAAACATGTTCAGGAAGTGCCGAATGGACAGAAAGGGTCTGTAAGGCTTCTGAAGCCTATGACAATGAGTCACCTTCGAGTGTCCAGAAGTATGTTCTTGATGAGTGCTGAAAATGGAATCTTGTATGGGTTGGAAGGAATAAAGTTACTCCACTTGAACCTGATGAGGTGGAAATGCTTCTAGGTTTCCTTATCAACCATACACAAGGATCTGTGTAGAAACATGTTTCCTAGTGATATCAATGTCTTGTTTCTTTTTGCTGGAATCAGTAATGCAAAGATCATCTTCTACTGTTTTGAAAACAGATGTGCAAGAACTGAATGGTGATCGGTTGGAACAATTGATGAGTAGATTTGGCGGATTCGACCTCGTTGTCGGTAGCACCACTTGTAACAATCTTGATGTTCATGACTTTAAGCTAGTGATGATTTGCCTACTTTGTATTCCATGTATTTAAAAGTATTAACATAAAGTGATATTCAGAAATCTTTAATTTATTTCAAAATTATGTTAATAAAAAATAAATTGAATTTCAAAAATAAATTGAATCTCAAATAAATTGAACTTGAAATAGATAGGATTGTATTCAAAGTTCTGGCAATCATAATAATGATAAAAATTCAAATGTCTCAACAAATTACAAGCATAAGTATTTCTAAATTAATCACATTGACACAATTTAGAGTAATGATGTAAGCTTTTGTCTGGAAGATCTCAAATGTTGTCAAAATGCTTGTAGATGTGAAGTTTCTTCCAAACTACCAAAATCTTAAGAGAATTCAATTGCCGGATGCCTAATATCAACCTGCCTTTGAGCCGCCTTTTCAGGTTTTCAACTCAAATCCTTCCTTTGGTTACAAGATGCCCTTTGCGGGTTTTCACCTTGACCCTTTTTTCACTTTTCATTTTTTTTTCTTTTTCTTTTCTCTTTAAGCATAATATTTCTTGACAGAATCCGAGTTTATTGGATTTCTCAGAATTTTTCCATCCATTTCTGCCAAGATCAACGCTCCTCCGGAAAAGGCCTTTTTCACAACGTATGGCCCTTCCCAATTAGGCATCCATTTTCCACGGAAATCTTTATGTATAGGCAAGATCTTTTTTAATACTAGATCACCCTCTTGGAATTCTCTTGGATGTACTTTTTTGTCATGAGACTTCATCATCCGTTTCTGATACATCTGTCCATGGCAAATAGCTTCAATCTTTTCCTCAATAAGGTTCAATTGATCAACTCTAGCTTGGATCCATTCAGATTCATCCAATTTTATTTCTCTCAATATTCGGAGCGATGGAATCTCAACTTCAATTGGTAAGACTGCTTCCATCCCGTAGACTAAAGAAAAAGGCGTTGCCCCAGTAGATGTTCGAACAGTAGTTCGGTATGCATATAGAGCAAAAGGTAACTTCTCGTGCCAATCTTTGTAAGTTTCAGTAGTCTTTGTAATGATTCTCTTGATGTTCTTATTTGCTGCTTCAACTGCCCCATTCATCTTTGGACGGTATGCCACTGAATTTGCATGTTTGATCTTAAACTGTGCACAAAGTTCGGTCATCATTTTGTTGTTCAGGTTCAGAGCATTATCTGTAATGATCCTTTCTGGTAGGCCATACCGGCAAACTATCTCCTTCTTTATGAATTTGCAGACTGTGGACCTCTTAATATTGGTGTATGAAGCAGCTTCAACCCATTTGGTAAAATAATCAATTGCCACAAGGATGAAGCAATGTCCATTTGATGCTTTTGGTGTGATTACCCCAATGACATCTATTCCCCACATAGAAAATGGCCAGGGTGCTGTCATTACATGTAAAGGAGATGGGGGTACATGAATCTTGTCTGCATATATCTGGCATTTATGACATTTCCTTGCGTAATCAATGCAATCTGTGTATAGTAGCCCAATAGTATCCATATCTCTTATTTTCTGGCCATGGAAAGACCATTTGCATGTGTTCCACATATCCACTGTGTACTTCTCAATGACGTTTCGAGCTTCGCTGGTATTTAAACTCTCAACAGCATTTGATCACTGCTTCTTCTATACATCTCTCCATCAAGAAAATATCCAGCAGCCATTCTTCTCAGGTTCTTTTATCAATTTCTGATGCATTTGGTGGATAACTTTGATTTTGATATATTGCATCATGATACCATGGTTTACCATCTACCTCTTCTTCCACACTATAACAATGTGCAGGAATTTCATATACTTGCATTTTGATTGGCACATATCAACCTTCTGAGTTGTCTGAAACATAGCAGCTAATGTAGCCAAAGCATCTGCCATTTGATTTTCTCGAGGGAGATAATTGAATGTAACTTTCTCAATTCTTTCACTAATTCGAGGGTAAAATTTCGGTATTCCAACAATTTGGGATCTTTTGTTTCCCACTCTCCTCGCAATTGATACACCACTAACGATGAATCTCCATATATCTTGAGAAATTTGATTTTTTCTATAGCTGCTTTCAATCCCATGACACAAGCTTCATATCTGCCATGTTATTGGTGCAAAAGAACTCCAGTCTACTTGTAAAGGGATAATAAACATTTTCTGGAGAAATCAACACTGCCCCGATTCCTCGTCCCAAAGCATTAGATGCTCCGTCAAATAAAGCTTCCAAGTTGCAAATTCATCATTTGTTCTGACTTCTTCATTCATGGATATGTACAACAAATCTTCATCGGAAAATTAAAGTTCAAAGGCTGATAATCATTTGACACGACTGGCCAGAAAATCAGCTATTACACTTCCTTTTATTGCTTTTTGGTTGACATATATAATGTCAAACTCAGATAAATAACATCTGCATCTAGCCATTCTGCCTGTCAAAGCTGGTGATTCCATTAAGAACTTTAAAGGATCAAGTTTGGATATCAACCAAGTAGTATGTATAACATATTGTCTGAGTCTTCGAGTAGCCCACACCAAGGCACAACATAATTTTGTATTGGTGGATATCGAATTTCACAATCAGTAAATTTCTTGCTCAGATAATAAATAGCTTTTTCTTTCCTTCCTGATTCATCATGCTGTCCTAGTACACATCCCATCGAATTTTCGAAAACCGTCAAGTAGAGAATTAATGGTCTATCAGGCATTGGTGATACTAAAATTGGGGCATTGGATAGATATTTCTTCTAATATCCAAAGTTTCTTGACATTCTTCCAGACTTCAGGGTTGTTCTTTCGAAGTAATTTGAACACTGGATCACATTTGTCAGTTAATTGAGAAATGAACCGAGATATATAATTTAATCTTCCCAAAAAGCCTCGAACTTCTTTTTTTGTATTGGTGGTGGAAGATCTTGAATTGCTTTTACTTTATCTGGATCAATCTCGATTCCTTTTTTGCTGACCACAAATCCCAAAAGTTTTCAGAAGTTACCCCAAAAGTGCATTTTAGCGGGGTTAAGCTTTAATTGATACTTCCTCAATCTCTGGAAAAGCTTCCTCAGATTTTGAATATGTTCTTCTTCCGTTCTGGATTTGGCAATCATGTCATCTACATATACTTCAATCTCTTTGTGCATCATGTCATGAAACAAAGTTACCATAGCTCTTTGATATGTGCCCCTGCATTTTTCAACCCAAATGGCATCACTTTATAACAGAATGTGCCCCACATGGTTATAAATGTTGTTTTTTCCATCTTCAGGATTCATTTTATCTGATTATATCCTGAAAATCCATCCATAAAAAAAACCATGCATGCCCTGCAGTATTGTCCACCAATGTGTCTATGTGGGGTAATGGAAAGCTATCTTTCGACTAGCTTTGTTGAGATCTATAATCCACGCACATTCGAACTTTTCCATTTTTCTTTGGTACGGGAACAATGTTGGCTACCATTCTGGGTATTTAACTGCCTGTAGGAAACCTGCATTGATTTGTTTCATCATTCTTCTTTGATTTGATTTGCAACAAC